GTGTTCTCATGGCCTTCCAGATCCACCACTTGTCTTCTCCCCCAGCAAGAAGCTTCCACCACCACAGTAAGTCACATCCCATCACTGCATCCCCGTCGTGTCCCTTTCACTGCATCCCCGTCATGTCCCTTTCACTGCATCCCCGTTGTGTCCCATCACTGCATCCCCGTCGTGTCCCTGCTGCTGCATCCCTGTCCTGTCCCTGCTGCTCCCCATCACTCACTCACTGCAGTTTGGGGCTCTGGGGTTCGGATGCTCTGGGTTCCAGCTCCCTCCCCTGTTTTTTTTTGGGTGAAGGAAGGATCAGAAAGCCCAGGAGCAGGTATTTAGTGCCAGGGAATGGCACAGGCTCTCCCAGGGAGCAACCAGAGAAGCCTGGAGCTGAGCCATGGGCGCTGCAGCGGCTCCTTTCTCCCTTCCAGCAATTCTCATGGCCCTGGTAGCCCCGACAGCACCGTGAAGCTGAAGCTGCAGCCGTCTCCCTACCGGAGCCTGCACCGGACGCTGCTGTGGGGTGAGAAGGCCGGTACCAGCCTGGGCCTGAGCATCGCAGGGTCCCGGTACAGCGCGGACGATGGCAGCGCCGGGGAGCACGTGCCCCTGGAGCGGATCCGGCGCGGCCCCGACGGCCGCTTCGTGGTGGAACCGGAGCCCCCGGTGCCGCAGCCTGAGCCCTGCCTGCAGTTGCCCCGGCAGGAAGAGGAGGAGGATGAAGATGAGGAGGAGGAGGAGCCCATCTGGCACAAGGGGGTCTCGCTGCGCCCCCGGCCCGCGGGGCAGCCCCCCCGGGGCTCCTGGACCAGCCGCCGGGGCCGGTACTTTGGCTACGGCAGCAGCAGCAGCCCCGTGTGCGGCTCCGCCGCCGCCGCCGCTGCCTTGTGCATCATCGACGTGAGCCCCGTGGCCTCCGCCACCACTTTGCCTTACTGCACCGCTGAGGCGCCGCACCCTGGCCCCGGCAGCGCCCTGTGGGACTCGCTGCCCCTCGAGGGCTCCCCACGGCCCCCCCCCAGCCCCGCTGTGCCCCCCAGCCCGCAGCCCCCCGCCCGCAGCAGCATCCTCCAGTTCCTGAGCCTACCCTTCTTCAAGGAGATGTGCGTCGACGGCGACGAGCCGCCGGAGCCCAGCACCCCCACACCGGAGCCCCCCACCAGGACCCCACCGGGGAGCCAGGGCTCCCCACAGCACGTGGGGCGGACGCTGTGCCCAGACTGCATTGACCCATGTGCCAAAGCCACCACGTTCCTGGAGCCCCCCAGCCTCCCCCTGGGTCCCGCCAAGGCATCGCTGCCCGGCACCGCGGCCTGGCCCGGCAGCACCAGGACTGAGGCCGTGCCAGCGGCCAGCACCGCGCAGCCTAACTGGGCACCACCGGGCAAGGCACCGGATGCGCCGGCGCTGGAGAAGCTGGCGCGGGGCAGCCTGACGAGCCAGAGCAGCGGCCGCGGCAGCGCCTCCTTCCTGCGCCCACCGTCCTTGGGGGGCAACGGCCCCAGCACCCCCCCGGGTTGGAGCGGAGCCGCTGCGGTGAGGATGGATCCGGCTCTCGGCAGCGCCGGGAAGAGGTGAGCCACGGGCAGGACACCGGCATGAACCGGTGCCGTGTCATGGCTTGGCCATGGGGTTAACCCTCCTGTGGTCCCCCTGCTCCATCCCCGCAGGAGGAACACGTCGGTGGATGAGAACTACGAGTGGGACGCGGAGTTCGCGCTGGAATCCGACATCCTGGAAGCGCTGCAGCTCTACCGCAGCGGGACCCCGGCCCGGCCCGGCTCCACCATCGCCCTGCGCGACCTGGAGCGGCAAAGTGAGTGTGAGCAGGGGGGTGATGGCGACAGCACCCATGGGGCTCCCATCACCCCGGGGTGCTGATGGTGTCTGTGTGTGTGTGTGTCCCATCCCCACCCTGCAGAGCCCGGTGCCGCCGCCGGCTCCTCCCCGGTGAGCTCGGTGTCGGCGGAGGCGTTGGCAGCCGGTGCTGGCACCGTGTCCCGGCGGCGCAGGGATGGGGCCCGGCAACGGCCGCAGGAGCAGCGCCTGGAGCTGGCCACGCTGCTGTAGGGGACCCCCATGGAGGGTTAAAGGGGGGGGAAATAAAGAGATGTGAATGTAGCACCCAGTGTGTGGGGTGGAGGAGCAGAGACCCAGAGCCCCCCATGGCACCCAGAACCCCAAAAGGGCCCCCACAGGGCATCCAGAGCCCTCCATCGCACCCAGACCCCCCAAGCCTCTCCAGGGTGCCCCGTGGCACCCAGAGCCCCAAAACACCCCCCTTCCTCCCCCGCCACCCAGACCTTCCCCAAGACCCCCTATGGCACCCATAGACCCCCCAGAACTCTCCATGCCCCTTCCTCAGGCCACCCAGAGCCCCCCCCCCAAGGGCATCCATAGCCCCCAAACTACCCCCTCCTGCTGCCACTTGCATCCCCATCACTTGTATCCCCCCCATCCTGCTGCATCCCCCCCTTCAGTGTTTGTGTCCCCCCTCCCCGGGGGTCTCTCATCCGGTGCCCCCCTTCATCCCATTCCCCCCCGTCGTTCCCGTGCCCCCCCACCCCGTTCCCATTCCCTGCGGGCGGGGCGGGGCTATCTCGCCTCGTTCCCTTATATGGCCATGCCAAGGGGGGGGCGGAGCCCCGGCGGGAATGACGTCACCCCCAGCCCTTTGGGGGTCTTCCGGGGGTCCCCTCGCTGGGCCGGGTCCCGGGGTCACCCCGGGTCATCGGGGGGGTCCCGTCCGCGCACACCCGTATCCGGGTTCTGTGTGACCCCCACCCCCTCTCGGGTCACCCCCCCCAATGACGTCATCATCCCCACTTCATGTCCCTCTCATCCTGCTCTGTGTCCCCCCCATATCCCCTGCCCTGCCCCCTGTGTTACCCCCCTCCTGTCCCCACCTCACCCTGTGTCCCCCATCCTGAACCCCCATGTCCACCCTTACTCCCTGTCCCCCCCCTATCGTGTGGGTCACCCTGATCCCCACCCAGGGAACACTCCAAGACACCCCAAAGCCCCACCGGGAACCCCCACAACACGGGGGGGGGGGGGGTGTTTACAGGGACGTTCCCCCTCCCACACCGTGGCACCCATGGGTGCAGGGGGGGCACACAACAAGCAAAGCTGGTTCCCACTGTGATGGAGCCCTAAGGAGCAGCTCGGGGTGCTGGGGGGGGGGGGGGGCTGGTCCCAGGTGTATTTTGGGTTCTGTGGGGTGGATTTTGGGTGCGGGGGAGGGGGTGGTGGGGGTCGTGGTCCTGGGTGTATTTCGGGTTCTGTGGGGTGGCTTTTGGGGCTCTGAGGTTGGATTTTGGGTGTGGAGCGGGGGCTGGTCCTGGGTGGATTTTGGATTCTGTGGGGTGGCTTCTGGGGCTCTGAGGTTGGATTTTGGATGCTGGGCGGGGGGGGGGCATTTGGGGCCCCGGGGGTGTGGGTGCGGGGACACCGAGGCGCTGGCGCTGGCTCCGGGCCCGGCGTCTGTTTGGTTGTTTTGGTCGCGGCTTCCCTTGGAGACGGTGCTTGAGCAACAGCCACGGCCCTGCCCCTGCGCGGGGACACGGGGGCACCGCGGGGCCGGGGGCAGCGGCAGCGCCCGAGCCCAGCCCCGACGGCTCGGCTGCCCCGGCCCCACCGAGCCTCGGTGTCCCCCCGCAGCCTCCGTGCCCCCCAACCCCTGATGCTCCTGCTCCTTGTCCCCACCAAACCCCCCCTGTCCCTCGCTCTCTGCCCCGCAGCCACCCTGTCCCCATCAAGACCCCTGATGTCCCTCCAACACCGTGGCCACCCTTTTCCCCCCCATCAAAAGCCCCGTGGTCCCTTGTCCGCGCTGCTCACCCTATCCCTGCCTCCTCGTTCCCATCCAAACCCCAATGGCCCCGCTCAGCCCCTCTGTCCCCGCCACGGGGCCACCCCGTCCCCACCGAGCCCCCGATGTCCCCTGACCACGGTGACCACCGCGTCCCCACCTTGGGCCCCCCCCCCCCCCTCCCCAAAATCCCGGCCCGCCCGAGCCCCCTCCCCACCGGGCGGGGCTGCCCCGGTCCCGGCCGCGGACCCGCCCCGGGAACGGGCGGTCCCGGCCGCCCCCGGCCGCGCTGACATCAGCCGTGAAAAGGGCGCGGGCAGCGGCATCCGGCATCTGCCGACCGGGGACCGCGGGAGCCGCGCCGCAGGTAGGGACCGGCACCGGGCACCGGGCAGCGGCACCGGGCAGCGCCCGAGGGCGCCCGCGCAGGTGGGGTCGGGAGCCGGGATGGGGACGGGGATGGGCACCGGGAGGGCACCGGTAGCTCTGCCCTAAACCCGACCCCCCCCGTGCTGCAGAGGGACCCAGAGCGGGACCGCTCCCCCCCCCCCCCCCGGCCCCGGGCTCCCCCCCCCTGCCCGCCCCGCTGGGGGTAACGGCTCCGGGCAGCGTCGGGAAACGCGGCCGCGCCCGCGGGACGGGACCGGGTGCGGCTTCCGGCCCCAGCGCCGCTGCCCCCGGGGGCTGCGGACACCGCGGCGTGGCCCGGGCCGCTGGGGACCAGAAACCGTTGCCGCTGGGGGGGGGGGGTGGACCCTGTCCCCGCCGGGGTCCCGTCCCCGCTGGAACCCGGTGCCCGCTGGGGTCCCCTCCCCATTGCACTGGGGCTCTATGGGGTCCCCATGGTGGCCGTGCCCCGGCAGGGCTGGGCTCTGCTCCCCCCAGCCGTGGGATCCCCTCTCAACGGGCGACCCCCGACCGGGCTCCGACTGCCCCGGTCCCGGTTCCTCTTTGTTTCCCGGCGGCTTTGGCCCCTGTCCGGGCACTCCCCACGCACCCGGGAAGCGGCTCTGTCCCCATAGGGACTGCCCAGGCCCCACGGCAGCGTCGGGAGAGCCACGGGGTGGCCGCGGTGCCGGAGCTCCACAGCGGCTTCACTCGGCCACCGCGGGGGGCTCTGGGTTCAGGCTCCCACCAAACCCAGTCCCGCGGGTGCTCCCGGTGTCAGGGACCCCAAAACCGGGTGCGTGATGGGGTCCGAACAGAGCCGGGTCCCTCCCATGTGGTTGTTGCTGGCTGGGCACCGGGGCTGGCACCCGCAGCATGTGCTCCCGTCCGGCATTCCGGGACCCCCGAACGTCAGGATGCAGGGATGGGATGCGGGAGGTGGTGGGTACCACTGATGGCACTGGCTCCGGTGGCCCCACGGCAAAGATCCGGGTCCATCGGCCCCATGCTCCCGGTGCCAGTCCCGGATGTGGCACCGGGCCCAAGCAAACGGGGCAGCTCCTCAAACAAGCTCTGACCGGTGCTTGCCAAGCCCGCGGGGCTGAGCCGTGGTGATGGATGCTCAGAGCAGGATCCGCGCCCGGAGCACCATGGGGTGGGCACGGAGCAGGAAGCGAGCAGGGCCTGGCATGGGCGATAAAGCTCCATAATGGACACTGAGCCATCGGTGGTCACCATCACCCTGTGCCACCAATGGGGCTGACGGGGGGGGGGTCCGGTCCCTGCAGATTACCCCCCCCCCCGCCCTGCTGTCACCATGGCAAACCGGGGACCATCATACGGGCTGAGCCGGGAGGTGCAGCAGAAGATCGACCGCCAGTACGACCCCGAGCTGGAGCAGATCCTGGTGCGGTGGATCCTGGCACAGTGCGGCAGCGACGTGGCGCAGCCGGCACCGGGTAGGGACGGCTTCCAGCAGTGGCTCAAGGATGGCACCGTGAGTACCCAGGCACTGGGCACTGGAGGGGGGGGGCACCATGGTGCTGGTTGTCACCGGTGTCCCCTCGCCCATAGGTGCTGTGCCGGCTCATCAACAGCCTGCACCCGCGCGGGCAGGGCCCCGTGGCCAAGGTGCAGGCGTCGGCCATGGCCTTCAAGCAGATGGAACAGATCTCGCAGTTCCTGCAAGCGGCCGAGCGCTACGGCATCGCCGCCACCGACATCTTCCAGACCGTGGACCTCTGGGAGGGTGAGCACCAGGATGGGGATGGGGATGGGAAAACAACGGGGATGAGGATGGAAAGGAGACAAGAACGGGGATGGGATAAGGATGAGGATAGGGTTGAGGGTGGGAATGGGGTGAGGATGGGGAAGGGGATGGAGATGCAGATGAGGACAGGGATGGGGATGGGAACTGGGATAAAGACAGAATGGGGATGGGGTTGAGGGTGGGAATGGGGAAGAGGATGGGTTTGGGATAGGGATGGGAATGATGATGGGGTTGGGAGTGGGGTTGAGAATGGAGGATAGGGATGGAAATGGGGATGGGGTTGAGGGTGCGAATGGGGATGAGGATGGGATTGGGATAAGGACAGGATGAGAACAGAAATGGGGATGGGGTTGAGGGTGGGAATGGGGATGGGGATTGGGATAAGGACAGGATGAGAACAGAAATGGGGATGGGGTTGAGGGTGGGAATGGGCATGAGGTTGGGATTGGGATAAGGACAGGAATGATGACAGTGATAGGAATGGGGTTGGGAATGGAGATGGGTATGAGGATAGGGATGGAAACAGGGAAGGAAATGGGGATGAGGATGAGTCCGAAGCCAAGCCTGGCCGCGCCCTTGCAGGGAAGAACATGGCGTGCGTGCAGAGGACCCTGATGAACCTGGGCAGCCTGGCCGTGGCCAAGGGCGATGGGCTCTTCGTGGGAGACCCCAATTGGTTCCCCAAGTAGGTGCTGGGTGCTTGGGGGGGGGTGCTGCAGGACCCAGGGGGGGTCCGGAGGAGGCGCTGACACCGCTGTGCCCGCAGGAAGTCGCAGGAGAACCGACGCGTCTTCTCCGAGGACAAGCTGAAGGAGGGGCAGAGCGTGATCGGGCTGCAGATGGGCACCAACCGCGGCGCCTCGCAGGCCGGCATGACGGGCTATGGCATGCCCCGGCAGATCCTCTGAGCATCCCCCCAACCCCACCGGACCCCAAACTGCCTGTGCCCCCCCCCCAATACAATCCATTGCGGACCAGCCGGGTGCCCCCACCCCGGCCCCCCTCTCTCCCCTCTCCCCCCCCCCCCGGATTCCAGGACCAAAAATTGTTTTTATATTATTATTATTTGGCCGGTGCTGCTGCACCCGCCCCCCCCATAAGTGCCTTTGGGGGGCACAGTGCCCCCCCCCTGCCGCTGCTGTGTTGGGGGGGGCACCCCCCTGCACCCCAATAAACGGCTCCTCTTGTTTCCAGGCTCAATGATTGTGATGGGGAAGGGGTTTGGGGGGGCCCATCACGGCATGAACCCCCCCCGCGGGAAAGGGAGACCCTTATGGGGGGGGGGGCACTAGGACCCCGCGGCCTCGCCGTGCAGCATGGCGGCAGCCAGGCCACGTGGAGGGAGGGGCGGGGTTAGCGGGGAGGGGCGGGGCTGGCGCTGCTCACTCCCTGCCGGGCTCGGAGGGGGGGATTTAAGGGGTGGTTGCGGTGAGTGTGGGGGGGTTGAAGGGGTGGTGTGGGTGTTGAGGGGGTGTCGTGGGTGGGGGGAACACCTCGAGTGCCCCGTGTGCGTGTGCAGGGCGGTGTGTACGCGTAAACACGGTCAGCCGCGCAGAACAACACCCACACACCCCCCCCCCCCCCCGGACACGGAGTGCGCCCTTCCGCCGCCCAGTGCGCACGCTCGGCAGCGCCCCGCGGTTGCCAGGGAACAGGGGTGGGGAAGGGGCGCGTTGCCATGGCGACGGCTGGCGGCCGTCAAGCGGAGCGGGATGGTGAGCGCGGCCTGGCCCGGGCCCGGGGCTCCCCCGGTACCCCCGGTACCAAGGAACCCCCGGTGCCCTCTCCCCGCAGCCCAGCAGCATCCCGGCGCCCCGCGGCCGGTACCGCAGGAAGGCGCAGAGCTCCGCAGCCGAGGATGAGCTGCTGCTCGGGAAGAAGCAGGTAAGAACCCCCCCCCACACACACACACACACAAGGCAGGGCCTCATCCTGCCCCGCTCACCGCACCCCCTCTGTAATCCCTGTTCCTGAAGCTCCCGGGTAAGGAATGCGGCTGCAGCCCCTGGAATTCTGCTGTGGGACCACTCCGGGAAAGCACGGGATTCACTCTGCCTCCCAGGAGCATCCCAAGCCCCGTCCTCGGGGTGGGTTGGTGGTCAGGGAGAGACGGGAGGCTCAGGGCTGCAAGGCGAGGAGCTGGGCTCTAGCACGTGGGATATAAGGATCGATTCTGCCGATGACCCCAAGCTGTGGGGTTCGGTTGATCCGCTGGAGGGAAGGAATGGGATCCAGAGGGACCTCGACTTGTGAGGTGGGCTGGTGCCAACCTCATGGAGTTTAACCATGCCAAGGGCAAGGTCCTGCACCTGGGTGGGAGCAATCCCAGGCACAGCTACAGGTTGGGCAGAGAAGAGATTCAGAGCAGCCCTGAGAAGGACTTGGGGGTGTTGGTTGATGAGAAAATGAACATGAGCTGGGTTCAGGGTGCACTCACAGTCCAGAAACCAACCGTGTCCTGGGCTGCATCCAAAGGAGCGTGACCAGCAGGTCATGGAGGTGATCCTGCCCCTCTGCTCTGCTCTGGTGGGACCTCACCTGGAGCATTGTGTGCAGTTCTGGGGTCCTCAGCATAAAAAGGACGTGGAACTGTTGGAACAAGTCCAGAGGAGGCCACGAGGATGCTCAGGGGCTGGAGCACCTCCTGTATGGAGACAGGCTGAGGAAGTTGGGGCTGTTCAGCCTGGAGAAGAGAAGGCTGCGGGGAGACCTCAGAGCAGCTTCCAGTGTCTGAAGGGGGCCTATAGGGATGCTGGGGAGGGACTCTTCAGTAGGGACTGCAGTGACAGGACAAGGGGTAACAGGTTCAAACTGAAACAGGGGAGGTTTAGATTGGATCTAAGGAGGAAATTCTTTCCTGTGAGGGTGCTGAGGCACTGCAATGGGCTGCCCAGGGAAGCTGTGAATGCTCCATCCCTGACGGTGCTCACGGTCAGGTTGGACGAGGCCTTGGGTGAGATGGTTTAGTGTGAGATGACCCTGCCCATGGCAGGGGGGTTGGAACTGGATGATCTTCAGGTCCTTTCCAACCCAAACTATTCTGTGATTCTATGAAAGGAGCAAGGGCTGGAAGCTTCCAGAGCAGCTCCTGGCCAGCATTCCATAGACTTTCATCAGGGAGCTACGAGATTGGTCCCTTTGGAGAGTCTCTGACCTCTTGGCTGGGTGCCCTGGGCTGAGATAAACAGAGCTCAGCTCCTTCCTCTTGCACTCGGGGAGGGGGGGAAAGCTCCCTCCCCGCAGCAGGACCCGGGTGCACAGGGGCAAGGACGATGGAGTTTGGTTTGTGTGTGTGTGTCCCCCCGCCCCGTTATCACCTCTATGGGTGCTCTCGCTGGGGTTTATGGCCGCGGCTCTCCCCACCCTGCGCAAGATGCAAGGTCCAAGGTTTGCCCTGTCTCACACTGAGCAAACACCTCCAGTTCCCACTGCAGGAGAGACGTTGAGGAGGGGCCAGAGAAGGGCAATGGGGCTGGAGCAGGGCCTGGAGCACAAGTGATGGGGAAGGGGTGAGGGACTTGGGGGGGTTCCGATGGCTCAGGGGGGACCTGATGGCTCCCTACAAGTGCCTGACAGGAGGATGGAGCCAGGAGGGGCTGGGCTCTGCTCCCAAGGGATGGGACAAGAGGAAACGGCCTCAAGCTGCCCCAGGGCAGGGTTAGATGCAGCTGAGGAACAATTCCTGCCCCAAAGGGTGCTCAGGCATTGGAACAGGCTGCCCAGGGCAGGGCTGCAGTCACCGGCCCTGCCAGTGCTCACACACCCTCGGTGCCAAGGGGCAGTGGTGGGAATGGGTGCGCTGGGTGCTTGTCCTTCTTTGTGCCTTTCATTCCCTCCTCTGGACCTTATCGCCTGGAAGGAATCTGCCCACAGAGGCTTTGCCAAACTCCCCCTTTGGCTTTCCAGAGGAGAGGAAGGAAGCGTGCAATGAAGATTACCTCCGCTCCCAGCTGCAGCTTGGGAGCGTTCCCGGCCAGCAAGCCCTGGCCAGGTTTCTGATCAAGCCTTATCTCAGAGGCCTTCAAGGCAGCCTGATTAATCCCTGCGATTAATCCAGGTCTTGTCCAAGGAGTTCTCCTGGCTCCAGGGACAGCGGGCGGGTGGCTGCGGTGGCAGCAGCCCCGTTATCGCTGTTTGCACGGAGGCTTTCAGGGCCAAACCCTTTGGTTCAACACCTCCTGCTCGGGGCCCGGGGTGCTGAGGAGCTGCACCAGTGTCACCGCTTTGGGTGAGCAGCTCCCAGTGCCTAAAGGGGCTCCAGGGAACCTGGAGAGGGGCTCGGGACAAGGGGTCAAGGGGCAGAACAAGGGGAATGGCTTTAACCTGCCCGAGGGGAGACTGAGATGAGCTCTTAGGCAGAAGCTCTTCCCTGGGAGGGTGCTGAGGCGCTGGCACAGGGTGCCCAGAGCTGTGTCTGCCCCAAGGCCAGGTTGGACACAGGGGCTTGGAGCATCCTCCTCCATTGGAAGGGGTCCCTGCCATGCCTTTAGATGAGCTTTAAGCCCCCTTCCCACCCAACCCATCCCAGGATTGCAGGGACTGTTGCCGGCAGCGTTCCCAGGGCACTGTGGGATTTGTTCCAGCAGGAGTTTAAACAGGAATTCCAAGGGAAACCATGTGTCTGCTTCCCACCTCCAACTGGTTCTGGGGGTTCCCTGCCCCGGGCTCAGGGAATCCCCCCCTGCCCTTGGGAAGGGAGCCGGTGACTCTTCACTAGGTGGCAGCCTCAGCCTGAGCAAAGGCACTGGCACCAGTCCCGGCCCTACTGGGAGGACTGGTTTCTGCCCTGTGCTCCTTGCCAGTGACTGCCCTGCAAGGCCGGGCCTGGAGCTCATCCTCGTCCCCCTCCCCACCAGCTCCCAGCGAGCTTGGGCTCCTTTGGGGCCGGTTTCCACCCAGTTCTGCCCTGGTTCCATAGGGCTCAGCAGGATGGAGGTGCCAGGGCTGTGGTTGGGTGAGGGTTTGCCCTGAGCAGGCAGCAATGGGCTCCTCAGCCCCACCGGCTCCGGGTGGGACAGCAACCCCAGTAAACCCAGTGCCGTGGGGTGCGTTTGGTTTCCCCCCCATGTCCCCATCAGCCCTTCAGAGGCCAGAATCCCCTTCCCATGCCCACGCGGCACCGGTTGCGGTGGTGTGTAAGGCTCTTGGAGCCCAGCAGCAGGAGTAAACCCGGAGTAAACCCCATCTTTCCTCGCAGCCCTCGCGCCTCGACAGCCCCATTGTGCTCCTTCGGGATGTGAGGACAGCCCCCAAAGCGCTGTCCCTTGGCAGGTACGAGCCTAAGACCACCCTAATCATCACCAAGGACTTCATCCGGGAGCTCGTGTAAGTCTGGGCCCGAGCAGCAGCTCAGGAGGAGCTTTGGTGGCTCCGATGCGCGGAACTTGGGAATGTTTTGGTGCAGGAGGGATGGGCCCTGCCACAGAGGCACTGAATCATCCTAAAACCCATAAAAGCCCAACATAAACCTCCCCAGAGCAGCCAGAAAAGCGCCTTCTGAGCTCCTCGAGGCCTCCTGCTCCCCGTCACGCATCGGACGCTGCCTCCCACCTCCCAGTCCCAACCTGCCCTGTGGAAGGCAGCAGAGGAGTCCCAGGAGCTCCGTGTTTCCCCGTGGGGCTGCTTTATAAGCCCTTCATCACTGCCCCCCGTTGAAACCTGCAGCACGTAACGAGAGCAGGGCCATTATCCCAGTTCAGGCTCATTGGAAGCTCAGACGCCCTCTTTGCTGCTGTTTGGAGCAAGGTTCATCTTTGCCTCCCGTTCGGACCCTTCCACCCGATGCTCTCCCACCCACCAAGCCCTCAGAGCCGGGATTTGCTTTGGCAGCTGCTTTTGCTCCCTTCCCGGTCCCATCCGACCCCGGTGCCAAAGGCAAGACCCCAATTCCGGCCACGGCAAGCGGAGCTCGATGGAAACAATTTATGCTGGTGCAATTCCTGAAAACCAAGGCCCAGGCATCCCGGGGCTGCTCACCCAAACACGAGGCCGGCCAAGGCAGCGGCCGAATGTGTCACTCCATTTATGAGGGCCGTTGTGAGCATGGGGCCAAGCGTCCTGGAATGCGATGCTGTGATGCAGCCGGGGAGCGCTCATTATGCAGGTATCTGTTCCTATTCACCAGGGTGGATGAAAGGTGACACGCAATAATCATGAGTAAATTCTTAGTCCTGAGCAGCTTCAAAGTGCTCCGTGCATTTGGTTAATGGACGCTCCTCCGCCGCACGCGTCACCATGGTACCTGAGTAATGCACGGAGTCATTAACTCGGGCCAGCTCCCCGTGTTATTATCCACATTTTTACAAGGAGGGAAACGGGGGCACCGGGAGCTTCGGTGATTTCCTCCAAACCACAGCTTGACTCATGGCAGGGTTCATGGCTCGGCGCTGTCCTGGTGGCCCAGCGCTGGCAGGGCAGAGGGTGCCCCGTGTTTGGGCGCTGCTTCCTCCTCTCATCCCAGCTGCATTCCTGGGTGCACAGAGTCAAAGCCAAGCGGCTGCCAAACAGGCTGAGTGGCCCCAAACAGAGGGAAAAGGCACCTTCAGCTCCCCTGGATCAACAGAGGTTTCAAGGCAGCACATGGGAGCAGTGATGGGATGGGGAAAGGTGATTGGGGGGAAGGAGGATTTTCCCAAAGGAAAACTGGGGAAGTCAAGCTGGCCTGAAAGATGTTGGGTATTCTGTTACTGGAGGTTTTGGGGTTTCCAAGGTGAGCGTCCTGTCCCCCTGTGCATCACAGCTTTCCCTTCACTTTCCATTGCCCCCATGACTGGGAGAGCCAGGATCCCACAGCCTGGGTGCTTCCTGCATTGCTCCAGGGTGACTCCCATCCTGGTCCAGGAGCTGCTCCTGGCTTGGGCACCCGGGGAAGGGAACGGGGGGGATCTTTCAGACACTCCCATACCACTGACTGCTCTTTGTCCCCACCCCAGCACCACTGAGGAGAAGCCCCCAGCATCCCTCATCATGACTCCCGAGGATTTCCAGCGCATTAAAGCAGCAGCTCAAGTGCTGACCAAGGAGGAGCGTGAGGCCAAGCTGGCAGCCCTCAAAGCAGCGAAGGAGGCCGCTCTCGTAGGCATTTCCCTCCTCTCCTGCCCTTTTCTGTCCTTCCCCACTTGCTCCTGGGCTCTGGAGGGTGGTTGACACCGGCCTCATGGCCCTGGAGCTCCCACCTCCATCCCTTGGGCACCCATGTTTCGGTGTGCCCGAAGCAGCACCGCTCAGGTCTCTGATCCCCACCAAGCTCCCTGGGTGGGAAGGAGTCCCCAGAGGCTGGGATGAAGCCCCTGTGCTGCCTTTCTGCCAGGACTGGTGTGGGAAGGGGATGCCCCTTGGCTCCATGCCGGGATGCAGGGTCCCTCGAGGCAGGCTCAGCCCGGCTTTGGGCACGAGGGGACAAGCAGGATGAGCTTTGTCCCCTCAGGAGGCATCGAGGCAGCGCAAGGCAGCGGCGGTGCGGAAGCAGACGGGGAAGCTGAACGAGCTGGAGGAGGCGGCGCGGGAGCGGGCCCAGCACGTGCTGCAGCGGGCAAACAGGATGCGCATGGAGCAGGAGGATGAGATCAAGGAGTTCAGTGAGGTGGGGATGACCAAACCCTGGGTGCTGCCCAGTGGGTTCCTCTCCTTTCCCCCCCCTCCTCATCCATGTGTCCGTCCAAGTCCGGCTGGGAGAGCAGGAGACCCGTTGTCCCCGCAGCTGATCCTCGGTGCCAAGTGCCACATGATCCGCGACGCGCAGGTCCTGGAGAAACAGATCATTGCCAAGGAGCTGGCCGAGGAGGAGAAGCGCCTGGACAACATGATGGAGGTGGAGAGGAGAAAGGCCGAGGAGATGCAGGAGGAGCTGGAGCGCAGGCGGAAGCAGGAGCTGATCAGGTCCGTGGAAGGGTTCCTCTTCCCAGGCCTTCGCACCACGGCACCGCGGTGGGACCTGGCAGCACCCGACGCCCGTGGTGGCATTTCCACTTCTGGGAATGGCACAGAGCCAGAGGGAACGTCCTGCTTCCTTCCTTCCCAGAGGGAGACAGGGGCTGGTGAGGCAGATGGAGCAGAACGCGGAGGAGCGGGCTCTGAGGGCCGAGCAGAGGGACCAGGAGGCGCAGGAGATGCTTCAGTACCTGGAGCGGCTGAAGCTGGAGGATCTGAAGGTGCGAGCCCCAGGGAGCAGGAGGGGCTGGGGCTGGGTTTCCGTCGCGTTGGAAAGGGGCTGGGTGCTCACCCTCTGTTCCCAGGACATGGAGCGGAGGCAGGAGCAGCACAGGCAGATCCAGGCTGAGATTAAACGCATCAACACCGAGAACCAGAAGCTCAAGGCGGAGCAGCGGGAGCTGGAGCGGCTGGAGGATGAGCGCGTGCTCGAGTACCAGAGGCAGAAGCTGGTGAGAGGCCTTTGCCACAGGGCCCTGGTGCGGGTGCAGCTGTGGAGGTGCTGCTGGGAGCACCCACGAGGCTCTGACCCATCCAGGAGCGCGAGGCCAAGCTGGAAGCCGAGCAGGAGCAAATCCGCGTGGAGAAGGAGAAGGAGCTGGCGCGGCTCAGAGCCATGCAGGAGAAGGCCCAGGACCACCAGGCAGAGCAAGTGAGCAGCTGCCTCCCTGCTGCCTCCTTCACCCTCCTCATCCTCGCCCCCGTCGTCGTCGTCGTCACCCCTGTCCCCTTGCTCAGGACGCTCTGAGAGCCAAGCGCAGGCAGGAGGCTGCGGAGCGCGAGTGGCGGCGCAAGGAGACGGAGCTGGCACGGCTGAAGGCGGCGGCGGCGGCGCGGCTCGAGCAGAGCCGCCGGGAGCAGATGGCGCAGCGGGAGCACGCCATGGCCGTGCAGGCGCAGCAGGACCGCCACGAGTTCCAGAGGATCCTCCGGTGCGCGGGACGGGGCCCGGCGCTCAGCGGGGGCCGAGCCGGCGCGGGGCCGGCGCCGTCATCGCCGCCGCGTTGTCCCGCAGGGCGCAGCAGGAGCAGATGGAGAAGGAGAAGGCCGAGGAGGAGCGGAAGGCAGCGGAGCGCCAGGCTCACGCCAGGGCCGTGCGGCGCCAGGCGCAGGAGCGGCAGCAGGAGCTGGCGCAGGAGCGAGCGGCCGCCTTCGAGGAGTTCAAGCACCTGCAGGAGGAGGCCCAGCGCCGGCACCAGCGCATCGCCCGCTTCAAGGAGCAGAAGCTGCAGGAGCTCAGGTGATGCCACAGAAGGGCTCAGCACTGGGGCTGGAGCCTGGAGAAGAGAAGGCTCCTGAAGGGGAGACCTCAGAGCAGCTCCAGTGCCTAAAAGGAGCTCCGGGAAACCTGGAGAGGGGCTTTGGACAAGGGCCATCTCTTTATTGCCATCATCCATCTCGGCTCCTGCAGCCACCACGATGGCTTCTGCTGCCCTCGGGGCTGGGCCAGGGTCGGTTTGGGGGTCCCCAGCTCCATCCGATTCCATGGCATTCCCCCTGTGAGCAGCAGGTCCCTGAGGAAAGCTGGAGGAAGGAAGACCCCAAGGAAGAGGAGGGAGCTGAGGGCCACTTCGCGCATCACCCCTGGGGTGCAGGGGACATGGGACACCCATAGCCATTGGGACAGGGCGCAGCACCCCAGGGTGCTCCCCATGGCCGGGGGGGGGGGGGGGCGCATCTAGAAGAGCCTTTTAGAGCTGAAAATGTGGTGCCCCTGCTGCCACATGGAGGAGAGAAGGCTCCTGAAGGGGAGAGCTCAGAGCAGCTCCAGTGCCTAAAGGGGCTGCAGGAAACCTGGAGAGGGGCTTGGGACAAGGGATGCAGGGACAGGCCAAGGGGAATGGCTTTAACCTGCCCGAGGGGAGGCTGAGATGAGCTCTTAGGCAGAAGCTCTTCCCTGGGAGGGTGCTGAGGCGCTGGCCCAGGGTGCCCAGAGAAGCTGTGGCTGCCCCATCCCTGGCAGTGCTCAACAGGGCTTGGAGCAACCTGCTCCAGTGGAAGGGGTCCCTGCCTATGGGTCGAGATGAGCTTTAAGCTCCCTTCCCACCAAAGCATTCTGTGATTCTATGTACTGTGTATCCCTATGGCTTTCCTGGCTTCCCACCACCTCCCAGCTTCCTTTCCATCCTCATCCAAGAGGATCCATTCCGGAGCCCCGGTCCTGACTCTGATGCTTTCTTTCCTCTGCAGAGACTCTGGTGTGCCTGAGAAGTTCTGTGCCCAAGTGCAGCTGAGGGACCAGCACCGAGCGATCGTAGCCTCAGGCCAGGCCCGGCGCGGCGTGGGGCCAGGCTCCACCAAGGGGCTGATGCTTTCTTAGGCTCTTTCCTCCCAGTAGAGATGTTTATGAGCAGACGGTGTCTTTCACCCTTCTCTCACTGGGGGTTTTGGGGTCAGGAGCTGCCCGTGGGGCTGGAGTAGCTCCAAGGCTCATTGCCCAACTCCCAAGCTCACCTCTTGCCCGTCTCCATGGGCAGAGCTCTTGGATGCGCCCATGTCCTTGTCCCCCAACCTTGGGTGTCCCAAAGAGCCAGCCAGGCTCTTCCCCACACCCAGCCCTGCCAGTGCCACCACCTCCCCATCGCATCACCCCCAGGCCCTGTGGCCGTGTCAAAGCACAGAGCATGATGCAAACACTTCACATCCACTCGGCTCTGGGCCCTGGTGCTTCCGAGGGCCGAGGAGTGGCTCTGAGTAATTGTCAGAGCAGCTGAGCAATAACGAGAGCGGCACAAGGGAACGTGCCCGGGGCTCGGAGCCGCCTCCGTGGCCTCTCACCAGCCCTTCCCCGGCTGCTGCGCGGCCCCGGTGCTGGGAGCCGGGCTCCGATCTCCATCCCCGACCGCTCCGGCGGTGCCACCCCCGGTCCTGGCGCTGTCACAGCCCCGGGGGGGGGGGCTCCAAAGCCGCCGCGCACCGGGGTGCAGCATCCCCGAGCCACGGCCCCGGCAGCAGGAACCGGCCCCGCATCGGGGCTGCCCCGGGGCCAACCCGAACTCTGCGGCCCCGAAATCACAGACGCGGCTCAACACGTGCCGGGCCCGGCCCGGAGCCGGCGAGGACCCGGCCGCGGTGAGCTCAGCTCCGGGCCAGGAACTGGAGCAGCTCCTGGCCCCGGGCAGCGTTCGGGGTGGCTGCGCCGGGCGGTGGAGCCGGCCCGGGCGGTCCGGCCTTGGGAAGGGCCAGCGCGGCCGAGCTGCGCCGCGGGGCACGGCACGGGGAGGCGAGGCACGGCGGGGACAGGGACCGCGGCACCCGCAGCAGAGCAGCCGTGTCCCAGAGCAGCCGAGTCCCAGAGCAGCCGAGTTCCAGAGCAGCCGAGCCCCTGCTCTTCCATCCATAGCCAAGCATCCCTGTCCCTTCCATCTGCGGCCAAACGTCCCTGTCCCTTCCATCCATGGCCAAGCATCCCTGTCCCCTCCATTCACAGCCAAGCATCCCTGTCCCCTCCATTCATAGCCAAGCATCCCTGTCCCCTCCATCCATGGCCAAATATTCCTGTCCCCTCCATCCACAGCCAAATATTCCTGTCCCCTCTGTCCATGGCCAAGCATCCCTGTCCCCTTCATTCATAGCCAAGCATCTCTGTCCCCTCCATTCATAGCCAAGCATCTCTGCCCCCTCCATTCACAGCCAAGCATCCCTGTCCCCTCCATCCATGGCCAAGCATCCCTGTCCCCTCCATTCATAGCCAAATATTCCTGTCCCCTCTGTCCATGGCCAAGCATCCCTGTCCCCTCCATTCATAGCCAAATATTCCTGTCCCCTCCATCCATGGCCAAGCATCCCTGTCCCCTTCATTCATAGCCAAGCGTCCCTGTCCCCTCCATCCATAGCCAAATATTCCTGTCCCCTCTGTCCATGGCCAAGCATCCCTGTCCCCTCCATTCATAGCCAAGCATCCCTGTCCCCTCCATCCATGGCCAAGCATCCCTATCCCCTCTATCCATGGCCAAATATTCCTGTCCCCTCTATCCATGGCCAAGCATCCCTGTCCCCTCTATCCATGGCCAAGCATCTCTGTCCCCTCCATCCATGGACAAGCATCCCTGTCCCCTCCGTTCATAGCCAAGCATCTCTGTCCCCTCCATTCATGGACAAGCATCCCTGTCCCCTCCGTTCATAGCCAAGCATCTCTGTCCCCTCCATCCATGGCCAAGCATCCCTGTCACCTCCATCAATGGACAAGCATCTCTGTCCCCTCCATCCATGGGCAAGTTTCTCCGTCCCCTCCATCCGTAGACAAGCACCCCTGTCCCCTTCATCCATGGCCAAGAATCCCTGTCCCCTCCATCCCTGTCTGAGCATCCCTGTCCCCTCCATACATGGCCAAGCATCCCTGTCCCCAATCCCAGCCCTCAGCTCCCAGCTGCTGCACACAGCACTGCACCAGCTACTAAGAAGGAGAAAAATGACTGCTACTGCTGAACCCAGGACACCCTGGTGCTGCCATGCCCCTACATCCCTGTGCCACCACATCCCCACGCCATAGGCTGCGGCCTGGAGTCTCAGCCACATCTCCACACGTATCTCATCAGTGCCACCAACGTCGCCTTGGTGGGTGTCACGGTCCCACATGGCTTCAGCATCCCTGTGGCCACTGGCCAAGGGGCTGGACCAGAAGCGGGATCTGCAGGATCTTAACCCATGGTCAAACCCCACCTTTAACCTCCAATTGCCCCAAATCCTGCCCCAAGACCAAGATCTTTTGGAGAACCTTCACTTTGGCACTTCCGTGCCACCACGATGCTCCCACAGCATCCCCTTTTCCCACCGGGATAACCATCTATGGGGTCCAGCGGCCGGGATGCGCCGGTGTGTCATCCCATCCCGTGTCCCCCCCCCCCCTCATCACTGCATCCCTATGGATGGGCTCCCACACCACGGCCACGGTTAATTAGGGGGTAGGGAGTGGAGCAGGGCGGCAGCGCTCACGCACAGCTTGGAGCCACTCAGTCATCCCAAAGGCATCCTCCCCACAGGGAGGAGCGCCCCGACCCAGCATGTAAAAGCGGCCCCGAGCGGCCCCGCTGCCCCGTCGCCGCGGAGCTGCCGTCTGCTCCCGCTCCTCCTCAGCACCTGCACGGCTGCAGCGTCATGGCAGGGCCCGGCGCCAGCCTGCTCCTGCTCCTGGCTCTCATGCCAGGTACGGCCGGGGCACCCCGGCGCCTGGATCGGCTCCCGCAGGGATGCCATTGAGGATGGAGGGGACCCCAAGGGCGCCGGATGCGCCCCCCGTGGTCAGCAGAGCACCCACCGTGTTGGTGGCATCGAGCAGCCACGTCCCTTTGTCAGCCCCACCAGGATGGGTCCCTGCTCCCCGTGGGTCGGGGGCTGCTGGATGTGGGGCGCTGTGGGTCCGGGTGCCGGTCCGATGGGTGCTGTTCTCTCCCCAGCTCTCCTCCTGGCCGTCAGGATCAACAGCAAGGGCCGGGAGGTGCTGTACCTGGCCAAGGGCGACTCGGTGAAGCTGGGCTGTCCCTATGTGCTCGAACCCGAAGACAACGGTCCCCAGGGCGTGGGCATCGAGTGGATCCAGATCACGCCCGAGCGCACCGGCCCCGAGAACGTGGTGAGTGGCAGCGGTGCCAGCGGCCGCCGTCCCGACGGGCAGGGACGGCTGGGATGGACCAGGAGGGACAGGGATGGACCAGGAGGGACAGGGATGGATCAGGAGGGACAGGGATGGATCAGGGGGGACAGGGATGGACCAGGAGGGACAGGGATGGATCAGGAGGGACAGGGATGGACCAGGAGGGACAGGGATGGATCAGGAGGGACAGGGATGGACCAGAAGGGACAGGGATGGATCAGGAGGGACAGGGATGGACCAGGCAGGACAGGGATGGATCAGGAGGGACAGGGATGGATCAGGAGGGACAGGGATGGATCAGGCAGGACAGGGATAGACCAGGCAGTACAGGGATGGACCAGGAGGGACAGGGATGGACCAGGAGGGACAGGGATGGACCAGGCTGGACAGGGATGGATCAGAAGGGACAGGGATGGACCAGGCAGGACAGGGATGGATCAGGAGGGACAGGGATGGACCAGGCAGGACAGAGATGGATCAGGAGGGACAGGGATGGACCAGGCTGGACAGAGATGGACCAGGAGGGACAGGGATGGATCAGGAGGGACAGGGATGGACCAGGCAGGACAGATGGACCAGGAGGGACAGGGATGGATCAGGCAGGACAGGGATGGACCAGGAGGGACAGGGATGGATCAGGCAGGACAGGGATGGACCAGGAGGGACAGGGATGGATCAGGCAGGACAGGGATGGACCAGGAGGGACAGGGATGGATCAGGAGGGACAGGGATGGATCAGGCAGTACAGGGATGGACCAGGAGGGACAGGGATGGATCAGGCAGGACAGGGATGGACCAGGAGGGACAGGGATGGATCAGGCAGGACAGGGATGGATCAGGCAGTACAGGGATGGACCAGGAGGGACAGGGATGGATCAGGAGGGACAGGGATGGACCAGGAGGGACAGGGATGGACCAGGCAGGACAGGGATGGATGAGGCAGGACAGGGATGGACCAGGCAGGACAGGGATGGACCAGGAGGGACAGGGATGGATCAGGCAGGACAGGGATGGACCAGGCAGGACAGAGATGGACCAGGAGGGACAGGGATGGATCAGGCAGGACAGGGATGGACCAGAAGGGACAGGGATGGATCAGGAGGGACAGGGATGGACCAGGAGGGACAGAGATGGACCAGGAGGGACAGGGATGGACCAGGCAGGACAGAGATGGACCAGGAGGGACAGGGATGGATCAGGCAGGACAGGGATGGACCAGAAGGGACAGGGATGGATGAGGCAGGACAGGGATGGATCAGGAGGGACAGGGATGGACCAGGCAGAACAGGGTTGGTCTGGAAGGACCAGGCAGGGCAGGGAAGGACCAGGCAGAGTCTGACAGAGCCGGGCAGGGCAGGACTGGAAGGGCAGGGAAGGACTGGAGGGGCAGGGATGGACCAGGCGGGACAGGGATGGTCTGGTAGGACCAGGCAGGGCAGGGAAGAACTGGAAGAGCAGGGAAGGACTGGAAGGGCAGGGATGGACCAGGCAGGGCAGGGAAGGACCAGGCAGAGTCTGACAGAGCCGGGCAGGGCAGGGAAGGACTGGAGGGGCAGGGATGGACCAGGCAGGGCAGGGACGGACCTCGAAGGGCAGGGATGGACCTGGTGGGATAGGGATGGACCAGGCAGGACAGGGACGGACCTGGACTGGCAGGGACGGACCAGATGGGATAGGGACGGACCAGGCAGGGCAGGGCTGAAGCTGGAAGGGCAGGGATGAGCCAGGCAGAGCAGGGATGGACCAGGCGGGACAGGGATGGACCTGGAAGGGCAGGAATGGACCTGGAAGGGCAGGAATGGACCAAGTGAGACAGGGATGGACCAGGCAGGGTCCGGCACAGCCGGGCAGGCACCCGGCAGTGCTTTCCCCCCCCCCCCCCAAGCTGCCAGCTTTGGGTTCCCCCTATAGGGACCACCCCTGCTCAGCCCCCCCCTTCCCTTCTTTGATTCCCCCCCCAGTTCCTGTCCTACCAAGACCACCACGTGAACTACGGCAGCGGCTCGGGGCTGCAGGACCGCGTCGCCTTCGTGCAGACCGACCCCAGCCAGCACGACGCCTCCATCCGCCTGGCGGACCTGCAGGTCTCCGACACCGGCACCTACCAGTGCCGCGTGAAGAAGAACACCGTGGCCGTGCACGAAGTCATCGTCACCGTGCAGGGTCAGTGTCGTGTGTGTGTCCCCCCCCCGTTTTCCATGTCCCCTTCCCCGTTGGCTCCATAGTGACCGGGTCCTTGTCCCCACAGAGAAACCGGTTACCCCGCAGTGCTGGACCGAGGGGGAGCAGATCGAGGGCGGCAGCGTCCTGCTGCGGTGCTACAGCCGCGGGGGCACCTCCCCGCTCGCCTACCAATGGGCAAAGCTGGCGGACGGATACGGCGGGGGCCGCCTGCCCTCCGGCACCATCCAAGGTGGGTGCTGTGGGGCTGAGCCCCCTCCATGGCACAGCCCCCGGGGACTCCCATGGGTGCTGTGGGGCTGAGCCCCCTCCATGGCACAGCCCCCGGGGACTCCCATGGGTGCTGTGGGGCTGAGCCCCCTCCATGGCACAGCCCCGGGGGGCTCCCATGGGTGTTGTGGGGCAGAGCCCCCTCCATGGCACAGCCCCGGGGGGCTCCCATGGTGCTGTGGGGCTGAGCCCCCTCCATGGCACAGCCCCGGGGGGCTCCCATGGGTGTTGTGGGGCTGAGCCCCCTCTATGGCACAGCCCCGGGGGGCTCCCATGGGTGCTGTGGGGCTGAGCCCCACTCGTGGCACAACCCAGTGGGGCTCCCATGGGTGCTGGGGATGCTCATGGGTGAGTTCTTATGGGTGCTCATGGCTACGGGGGAGAGGACGCCTGCCCTCTGGCACCCTCCAAGGTGGGTGCTGTGGGGCTGAGCCCCTCCATGGCACAGCCGCGGGGGGCTCCCATGGGTGCGGGGGCTGCTCACGGCTCCTTTGGGTGCTCATGTGTGTTCATGGCCGCGGCTCCCATGGGTGCAGGAGCTGCTCATGGTTCCTTTGGGTGCTCCTTGCTGTACGTACCGCGGCTCCCATGGGTGCAGGGGCTGCTCAGGGTTCCTTTGGGTGCTCCTTGCTGTACGTACCACGGCTCCCATGGGTGCAGGAGCTGCTCAGGGTTCCTTTGGGTGCTCCTGCCTGTATGTACCACGGCTCCCATGGGTGCAGGAGCTGCTCAGGGTTCCTTTGGGTGCTCCTGGCTGTACGTACCACGGCTCTAATGGGTGCAGGGGCTGCTCAGGGTTCCTTTGGGTGCTCCTTGCTGTACGTACCACGGCTCTAATGGGTGCAGGGGCTGCCCATGGTTCCTTTGGGTGCTCCTGGCTGTACGTACCACGGCTCCCATGGGTGCAGGGGCTGCTCAGGGTTCCTTTGGGTGCTCCTGGCTGTACGTACCGCGGCTCCCATGGGTGCAGGGGCTGCTCAGGGTTCCTTTGGGTGCTCCTGGCTGTACGTGCCGCGGCTCCCATGGGTGCAGGGGCTGCTCAGGGTTCCTTTGGGTGCTCCTGGCTGTACGTACCACGGCTCTAATGGGTGCAGTGGCTGCTCAGGGTTCCTTTGGGTGCTCCTGGCTGTACATACCAGGGCTCTAATGGGTGCAGGGGCTGCTCAGGGTTCCTTTGGGTGCTCCTGGCTGTACGTACCACGGCTCTAATGGGTGCAGGGGCTGCTCAGGGTTCCTTTGGGTGCTCCTGGCTGTACGTACCACGGCTCCCATGGGTGCAGAGGCTGCTCAGGGTTCCTTTGGGTGCTCCTGGCTGTACGTGCCACGGCTCCCATGGGTGCAGGGGCTGCTCAGGGTTCCTTTGGGTGCTCCTGCCTGTACGTGCCGCGGCTCCCATGGGTGCAGGGGCTGCTCAGGGTTCCTTTGGGTGCTCCTTGCTGTACGTGCCACGGCTCCCATGGGTGCAGGAGCTGCTCAGGGTTCCTTTGGGTGCTCCTGGCTGCACGTACCGCGGCTCCCATGGGTGCAGGAGCTGCTCATGGCGCCTGTTTGTGCTCACGTCCGGGCCGTGCCCTTCCTTGCCCGTGCCCGGGGGCTCGGGCGCTGACGCCTCCGCCTGTCCCGGCTGCAGGACGAGCTCCCGGGGACCTGTTCATCCGCAGCCTCTCCGAGGCTCACGCCGGCGTCTACCAGTGCCGAGTCACCAACCGCGTGGGGTACTCCGTGTGCCAGCTCAACCTCAGCCCGGCCGCAAGTGAGTGCGGGCCGGGGACACGGGTTGGGAAGCGGGGACGGGGACGGGACAAGGGGAGGCTCTGTGCGGGTGCTGGGGACGCGGTGCTCAGTGGCAGCCGGTGCGGAGGCCGGCGGTGACAGGCTGTGCTCGCACCGTAGGGGGACGGCAAGCGGGCATCATCGTGGGCTCCATCCTGGGCTCGCTCCTGCTCCTGAGCCTCCCCGCGCTGCTCATCTGGGCGCTGATCTGCCGCTACCGTCGGAAGGAATGCCAGCGAGCCTGCAGCGACTGCCGGTGAGCGGGGCACCGGGGGGCAGCAGTGGGGTCTGGGGGGGCAGCACCAGAACTAATGGGTACCGGGGGGGGGGGTTGTCACTGGATGAGCATCACTGGGGGCTGCTGGGTATCAGTGGGCACTGAGGCGAAACAGGGACCAGTGGGCACCACTGGGTGCTGATGGGCATTACTTGGGTCTATGGGGCTACTGAGTGCTGCTAGGTGCTACTTGGTGTTGCCGGGCATCACTTGGGTCTATGGGGCATCGCTGGGCACTGGGGAGGGCTGATAGGTGCTACTGGGTGCTGCCAACCACCACTTGTGTCTATGGGGCATCGCTGGGCACTGAGAAGGGCTGCTAGGTGCTACTGGGTGCTGCCAAACACCACTTGTGTCTATGGGGCATCGCTGGGCACTGAGAAGGGCTGCTAGGTGCTACTGGGTGCTGCCAAGCACCACTTGTGTCTATGGGGCATCGCTGGGCACTGAGGAGGGCTGATAGGTGCTACTGGGTGCTGCCAACCACCACTTGTGTCTATGGGGCATCACTGGGCACTGAGGAGGGCTGCTAGGTGCTACTGGGTGATGCCAAGCACCACTTGTGTCTATGGGGCACCACTGGGCACTGAGGAGAGCTGCTAGGTGCTACTGGGTGCTGCCAAGCACCACTTGTGTCTATGGGGCACCACTGGGCACTGAGGAGAGCTGCTAGGTGCTACTGGGTGCTGCCGGGCACCACTTGTGTCTATGGGGCATCGCTGGGCACTGAGAAGGGCTGCTAGGTGCTACTGGGTGCTGCCAAGCACCACTTGTGTCTATGGGGCATCGCTGGGCACTGAGGAGTGCTGCTAGGTGCTACTGGGTGCTGCCAAGCACCACTTGGGTCTATGGGGCATCGCTGGGCACTGGGGAGGGCTGATAGGTGCTACTGGGTGCTGCCGGGCACCACAGGCTTTGCTGGGTACCAAGAGGGACCAACAGGCACTGATGGGTGCTGCCGGGCATCACTGTGCTCTATGGAGCATCACCAGGCACCCATGGCCACCTTATGGGTGCCACCACACATCACTGTGCTCTATGGAGCATCACCAGGCACCCATGGCCACCTTATGGGTGCCACCACACAACGACAGGGACTCGCCAGGCACCGGTGGCCGTCACCGGGCTCCGGTGGGGACCCCGATGAGCACTGACTCTTCCCCCAACCCCAACCCCAACCCCACAGGAGCAGCACCGGCGGCACCATGACCCGGCCCTGCAACGTCTGCGCCCACCACAGCTACTCGCCCCACGGCATCAGCTACATGCAGTGCCAGCACGGCGACGGCGACGAGCGGGCGGCCGCCCTCATCTGCAATGAGGGCATCCGGCACCAGGTCACCTGCCCGGCGCTTTAACCCCCCCATCAGCATCACCATCACCATCACCACCACCATCACCATCACCATCACCATCACCATCACCACCGTCCAGCACCAGCCCCGCACCGATTCGGCTCCGCTGCGGGAGCCGCCGCTCGCCGGGATCCGTGCCGGGACTCGCCGCATAAATTGAAGCCAGGAATCCCGGCCCATCCCCCCCCCCCCCAAACCGGCGCAGCCCCGGTTGGGTTTTATTTAACGTTTTATTGGATGTTTTGCCCCGTTTTTTACGTGCCCCCCTCCCCCCCACACCGCATTTTGGTGTCGGGCGGCCCCGAAGCGCCCCGGGAAGAGGAGGGGGGGGGGGGGGAAAGGGGGTGGGGGGGGGGGAGGGAGGAGGAGTCGCCCGGTCGCCCCGCCCCCCCCCCCCCCCCCCCCCCCCCACATTGGCTTTAGCAATTGGGTGTCCCCGGTGAGGAGCCGCCACCGGCACCGGGATTGGCAAAAAGGCACCGGGAAAAGACAAAGCGGAACGAAATTAATCGGGAAAAGAAATAAAGTCAAAGTGAATCCAGAGGCGGCGTGGCCGGAGTGTCCCGGAGTATCCCGGTGTGTCCCGGTGTGTCCTGGCGCATCCCGGTGTGTCCTGGTGCATCCCGGTGTGTCCTGGTGCATCCCAGTGTATTGGGGAGTGTCCCGGAGTATCATGGTGTGTCCCGGTGTGTCCTGGTGTGTCCCGGAGTATCCCGGTGTGTCCTGGTGCATCCCAGTGTATTGGGGAGTGTCCTGGTGTGTCCCGGTGTGTCCTGGTGCATCCCAGTGTATTGGGGAGTGTCCCGGAGTATCCCGGTGTGTCCCGGTGTGTCCTGGTGTGTCCCGGTGTGTCCTGGTGCATCCCAGTGTATTGGGGAGTGTCCCGGAGTATCCCGGTGTGTCCCGGTGTGTCCCGGTGTGTCCTGGTGTGTCCCGGTGTGTCCTGGTGCATCCCAGTGTATTGGGGAGTGTCCTGGAGTATCCCGGAGTGTCCCGGAGTGTCCCGATGTGTCCCGGTGTGTCCTGGTGTGTCGTGGTGCATCCCAGTGTATCCCGGTGTGTCCAGAGTGTCCTGGTGCATCCCAGTGTATCGGGGAGTGTCCCGGTGTGTCCTGGTGTGTCCCGGTGTGTCCCGGTGTGTTGGGGAGTGTCCCGGTGTATCCCAGTGTATCCCAGTGTATCGGGGAGTGTTCCGGTGTATCCCGGTGTGTCCCGGCGTGTCCTGGTGTGTCCTGGTGTATCCCA